CAAATGCCCATTACCCGACAAATGGCGTACGTGTTAATGGCATTTGAATTTGGCCAAATATGGCCGAGTCGTCGTTGTCACTTTGCATGTTTCGCTTCTTGTCCCCAAATGGCGTCGAAGCTGCCTCGGCAAGTGAAGGCATGCGCTAAGCTCCGCCGGACAATGCCCGCCAACGAGTCGTGTCGCCTGGCAGCGAACGCGAATCAGCGGCAGAAGCTCAACGGCCAGACACGCATCCCGCAAACATCCAGCAGAAACCGCACAGCAACCAACAACTCGCACCGCTGGGCCACACAAACGATCAAACGATCAATGGGCGCCCGCAACAGCTTATTGGGATTTTCTTATTTTATTTATTTATTTCTTTTTTTTGGCACTCGGCTTTCTAATGGAGCGTGACTTAGTACTGGCTATATGGATGAGCCCAATGATAGCCAGTTTGATACACAGTTGACACATATCCAATGACAGCTAATTAGTTATTGGCCAATAGCCAAAAACGCTTCGAATTAACTTAAATGATCAGTTTTCGCTCATCTTCATTGGATGCTTATTCGAAGATACGAGCAGTTGGTACTAGTTTTTTGAACGGACAAGAAATAGTAACATAGTTTCATAGGTTTAACTCTTTTGATTATCACCAGATCAGCCCGAGTTAGGATAATTCTTCAATTTAAACATAAAACTCCTTTCTAGCTTATACGTCATTCAGCCAGGATAAAAAGCTTAATGTATTTAGACGCTTAATGTATAGGACACTGTTCTTTGATAACCAGATTCCAGAGTACCGCACCTTAGGCATGTGCCTCTAAAATGACTTATCAACTTAGAGCATCTGACAGACCCTAAAGCAATTTCCTTATTATGTTTACATAGGTAGCATCACTTGCCAATGGCTCTATTGGCCATACAGCCCACACTCGGCATGTCAGTGCTCGCTGCTTGCAGACAGTTCAATAAACCAGACCAATATCGAGGCCTGGACAGAGAGAGGGGGATAGAAATAGAGATGAAGATGGAGATGGAGACAGCGAGGTGTACAGTGAACACGCATCAAATGACAGGGAACAACAAACAGGTTTAATTATAGCTCATGTAAATAATTTCTCAATTGTAAGCTGTTATCAACGAAAACTTCAATCAATCATTGGCAAACGCATGAACCTGAGCCAATGAGCCAAAAACCCAGACAATAGCAGAGCCACACTCGGCCGAACACCAAGCACTGATCTTGGCCTTAGGCGTGGGCCGCACAGTTTGAACTAGCCAAATCTAAGCTAATTAATCAAAATAATAATCAAGCAATCAGTGGATCATACGCCAGCGAGTCAGACACCAGCACAAAGCCGAGTGAGTTGGTCGATCGGTTGGGCGGGGGGCTGGGGCTGGGCCGGGTTTCGGTTGAGCCACGACGCACGCCAAGCCAAATGAAATGGAAGCAAAGTGTAACCCAAGATCGCTTAAGCGCTCGATTCCAAAAAATAAAATATAAAAAACAAAATACAAAAAGAAAAACATGACTTCAACTGCTGTCATTGCGCACGAGGTTTGTTGTATTTTTTTTGTTTTGTCGTCGTGTTGGGCTTTGTTTTGTTTTGAATTTCAGGTGCTTGTATCATTCAGTCATTTGGCCAACTATTCAACTACTCAACTATTCAACTATTCATTCATGAGCCATGCAACTTGCTTTGTTCTCCCTCGCCTCGACACTTGGCCGCAAATATATCCCCATATATGGCCACTCGCACTCACACACAGCTCAGTCTTTGACATCACGAATCTCTGAGTTTGAGTCTCATTTGGAGTCAACGTTAAGTAACGTCTACGCGCCTGAAACAATTAATCACCTGTCGTCGTCATCGTCAATTGGTTTTTCGGTTCAGATACTGAGCGACATGGACAGTTATGCGGTTTAGTGGCCTTTTCTGGTATGTGGCCCATATGCGTCGCAGACGGGAGTGCCAGCCGACGGCTATGTATGTGGGGGGCAGGGCGGCCGAGCTACACTTGTCTACTGCAATTATTATACTATCAGAGGCTGATCACTTGATGCTGCTAATAAATCATTTTACCGCTCATTTGTGATGAGCTTCGTGCTCCCGTTCAAAGGTTAAGTGTTGTACTGGACCCATATTTGGAAAATGATAAAACTTAAGCTTAACCTGAAAACCTATATACTGTGATTACTCTGTATGAGTCTTGCAGTCCGATCCTTATGAAATTTGCAATGTTTTATTTCAATAGTGTGTATTGACCAAAGCCCTGAATGTTATTTCATAAAATTGTATATAATAGCAGATAATCTGCATGCAGAATTTATGATAAGAATCTATACAACTACTTATCGTTCTTGTGAACTCGTGGGGAGTCACTGAACTTAAAATAAAATTGATTTTATTTTCTAAAATGTTTGCATACAGAAAAGAAAGATCGTCTAAGACTCTATAAACTTTACAGGACTGCATGTGCATCCTTCGGTCCACTTTATACATTTGCACAAGAACTGAGGTTGGACTACTAAAACGGATTATTATTTAACAGATCAGATCAGTTCACGTGCCCAGTGAGGAAGGAATTTAGGATCGCACCAAAAGGTTTAACACAGTCAGTTATTGCGATTTTCTTCATTTTTTGTGAAAATTCTGCTTTGATTTCAAAAGAAAGAATTTTAGATGTATTCTGCGTTTTAAGAGTTAATAATTACAATTTTATTTATATGATGCATTACGAATATTAGCTTTACCGAAATCACATATAGTTTAAGGAACAAATGATTTTTATTTATTTGTGAACATATTCCTGCTAATTTGCTTAACTTGCCTTACTTTAAAAATCTTTCTTCGTTGGCGCTAAGCGGGGGCTCGATGTTGAAAAATCGATATTTGAAACACTATTTAAATATCTAATAAACTATATAAAAATGTGTAAAAATTTTATTTCATTTTTCCTATTTCCGTTCATGTCAACTTTAATATGAATTTACCATATATTGACCAAAAATCTGCTTTAACGGTTTCCCCTCTCTTCCAACAGCCCCGATCACAATTGCAGCAGAAAATATTGCATTTTCCTATCCCGCAGCAGGGCGTCGCCGCTCTTAAACCACCACAGAGCTTAGATACACAATCATTTTTGTGCCAAAACTGAAGTATACTGCCTCCAGGGAAATCCGAACAATTCGCTTGCAGATTGGGTTTCCTCTTATAAAAAACTTCAACCTTACTACAGCATTCAGCATTCGCCCTCCATTGCAGCAATAGTATTAGAAACAATGACAACCTTTCCTTATACATTGTAGTTTGTCCAGTATGTTTTAGAATATTGTAACATTTCAAACAAAAAGAAATTCCAATTAGATATTTACGAAAAGTGTGAAGAATATATAATTTAATTTGTTACGTAAAGCAAAAAAATGTAAACAATGCTGAAGCGAATGAATTATATGCAAACAAACTTAACTTATGTAAGAGACTCTGATATAACTATGATTCTATTGAACTTGACCCAAAAAAAAAAACAAGCTAAATATGGTCAAGGCCTGTTGGGGGGCAGGTGAATGCAATATTTTTTACTGCAATTTTAATTGTGAATGTGGCATCAAAGACATCGCGAGTGAATAAATTTGCGTGCATTCAACTTGTACGTCAATTTATAAACGAGGAGCAGATGGAGTTGTGTTTACTTAGGGGATGTCTGGTTTTGCCTGTTTCATATTTTGCAACCAATTTTTCATGGGTTTTGTTCACAAATATGCCCACATAAAACCGTTTGTCAACTATATACCGAATTTTCTGAATGGATTATTTGTGCTTGATCGTCTAGACTGGCTTATGTTTCAAAGCTCACGAAATACTTTACTTTTATAAAACAATCGCAAGAATATTCCCACATTATGCAATCTCCCACTCAAACATTGGTATTTGTATTTTACTCTCGTAGCGATTTCTTTTCTTAAAGTTGCTCCTCCCTAAAAGGCAGACAAGTGAAAAGCGCATAAATCGACGCCCAACACCTCACACTAAGATTCAAACTATACAAAAAACTCTGCCTTGACATGCAAGTGAAATTTAACAAGCCACTCCTAAAATCAAACAACAAAAAAACAATGCGAGCTCTAACAACGAAAAAAGTGATCACACACAATAATATAAAAGTTGAAAGCGATGATTTTTCAACCGCGAGCCGTACCCAAAATACGTCACATTTAGGAGGTGGAAATATTATGGCAGCGAAAAGTAGGCATTGCCTCAATAAATACGCCCCCCGCAGACGACTGAAAGGGAGTTGCGCTGCCCGCGCATATAATTAAATTAAATTAAAAGAACCAACAAAACATTAAAGCGCGCATCCTGTAGCTTACCGAGGCTGCGGCTAAGGTGAAAGAAGAAGAAACCGAAATAAAAAAAAAAAAGCCTAAAAAGAAAAGTTCCACTTGTCTCAATCGACGCCTCCTCAAAAAATCTGCGTGAAGTCGTTGAGGCCGCACCCGCAGCTTGGACTCGCCCCCAGCGCCAACGCAAATTCAACGAACGCGTTCAGCATGTCTTGCCCCAACTTTAACCTCCCGCAAGATCCCCTCAGCACCTTACTCTTCAGATCCTGCATTGGATTATCGCGCAAAAACCAAGTCACTGTCTCTAATTGAATTCGTCGGTTTAAATAATTCAGCTGCAGGGCATCGAAATAAATTTCGATGCTCGGCTTTGGCTTGAATCTAGTTGTATGCCAAATTGTCTAAGGGACCACTTGTAGCGCGCTGTGAGTTCGTCTTGGCCAGGAACTTATATCCACTACACTGAAAAAAAGTTAACTAAAAGTATAATTGTAAAATAACTATTTGAGAGTCAATATGACGTGAAATGCCAACTGAAATTTCCTGCCTTTGCCCAACACAGCAATATTTTTAAAAAGATATATGAAAATTATTTCGAAATACATTGAACCTAAGGCTATAATCAACTTTTGCCCACTTGTACAGTATGAAGCCGAAAAATAATCTCTTGAGTTTCAGCCTTTTACTCTCATTTTATTTCCAAGAGAAGAGGATCTCCAATGAGTTTTCCTAAAGATTCGTTAAAATTCGGAGTTTAAAGATGAAATAGCCAAAATCGTAAGAGCGCTACCATATCTTTGATGTTTTTGATTACGTCTGTTAATCAGTCCCCATATTCTGCTTTGGCGTCAGATTATGGAAGATAGTGAAGGCGCTATTCGCATAAGGTAAGATGTTGGTGGCTGTCATCTTCGATTTCCAGAACTTACAGATCGATTTCGATTTCCACTGTCTCTTTCGGATCATTCATTTGTCAAAAATATCCTTATATAGAGCTGGGAGTTATCAGCTGTGTACAGAGTGTATTCGCTTCAGTAATCTTACCCAATTTTGATTTTCAATCGATTCATGAAGCAAACATTTGTTGACAACATGGAGTTAAAACTATAAAGAGAATCTTTTTAAAACGGATTTCAGAAAGTACCTTAATGCCCACACATCTATGACATCGCTCAATGAGGAATTCCAACTAGCTATTGACGAAAAGTGTGAAGAAAATATAATTTAATTCGTTACGTACCGCGAAAAAAACGTATACAAGGCTGAAACGAATTAATCATGTGCAAACAGACTTAACTTATGACGATGTAACACCGATTCTTTTGAAGTTGACATAAAAAGAAAACAAGTTAACTGTTGTATGTACCTCATATGTACCAAATAAGTCCTGAAGAGACATATACTTTCCTGAATAATATTTTAAATTTAAATATTATTTTCTGTTATGACATAGTTCACGTGCATTTTTTTCGAGTGTACCTCTGATGGCTGATGCTCACACTAAATGCCTTTTTTTAGCTTACAATTGATTTCAGCATCTTTGTTTGCTGTTTCTGGCAAGTGTTTGGCTTGGGGTTTCTTTGGGGTATCTGCGGGCGCAGCAAATCAATCTGCAAACATGCCGCCGCCAAGTGCCGACTCTGCAGACTACGACTTCGACTGCGATTGAGTCACGGAGTCGGAGGGGAAGAGTGAGTGTCCGTCCGGATTTCACAGTACAGTATGTGGGTTGCGGTCGACGCATCAGTTTCGGGCTGTTGTTGCATTTTGGTGCCGTAATAAATACATTTGGTAAATTTTAATGTCCTCCTCCCATTTTTCAGTCAATTTGAGCGGAACACTTGGATTTGCCGCTGCCCTTTTTTGGGGCCACTTGTAAGTTGCAGTTGCTTGGGATTTGTGTGCGGTTTGGCAATAAATATTTTAAATCAGAAAACATATAAATTTAGTGATTTGCCGAGTCAGTGAAGTCGTCTCGCGGCGAGTATCTTGTCTGATACCTGCACTCTGTTGAAGATGCGCATGTGCATGAGAAGAGCTGCTGTAGCCGTTATCGTGTTGCTTTAAAGGATTCAACGTCGAACCGCAGTTCAGCATAAATTGGTAAATTGTTTTTGGCGGCTGTGGCGGCACATATTTTGTATATTGAATTTTTAGTTCATCTTCGACTGTCTGCAGCGGTTTGGACATACCCATTCCAGCACACCTCTTTGGCCACGCGCCCCGGCCATGCCGTATTTAGGTCAACTCGAGTCGCGATTCATGCGGTAGCCAACATTTAAAGTAGGTGATGAAGTCCCACTGCTGCCTGATTTGTGATAAGCTTCATATTTTTAGGGTTTAATTCAATGAAAGTTGCATGCGTGCCTCCGACAATGACGCCGATGCTGGCCATTGCATCCACAATGCCCAGAGATACGGTTTTTCATTTCTTCTGTAGGTGAAATTATGCAGTGCCTCAATGCCGACTAAATTGGTAGTATGTGGCAGCGGCGTGAAAATTTTTGCCAGGGCCAGAGTTCAGCAGGCCGGGCAGAGATCCTCTTCCCCTTCTTTCTTTAGCTCCTTTCCTGGCCGGTCATAAATTTGATTTTAAGCGTTGAGAAGCAGTGAAAGCGTCTACAATTGACTGAACAGCATTCTGATCACAAGACATACAGGAAGGTATCTTTGGTAACATTATAAAATAGACGTATAGGCACGATGTCAACTAATCACATGTATACTTGCAGGATCTGCATAACATAGTGATCCAATTAAATCAAGCAAATTGTATAATGGCAAGGATATGTTTGCTCTATTAGGCACGATTAAGCTAAAAAGAAATCTAAGTCTGCTAAGGAAAAAATCGTGATGTTCATGATGATATTTACGATATTGAATCAAGCTAGAAAAAAAGTGGTGACAGATATGTAAAATATGTAGGTTCTCATTTAGCATATATCAAGAATAATTTACTTTTCGATACCATAACCGATCTCCATACTAAATTATCAATTTAAACAATTTTAAACGGAAGAACCTAGCGCTTGCGTAACATTTGGGACCTGGTAAGCTTAGGGAATAGTCCCAGTTACAGATAAACACAAAAACTAGAAAATCTATACTCCCGATAGAATTAAATATTTATATGAGGGTATTTTCATCGAATAAAGTTCGTACTTTATTATATTAAGTCTAATATCCTTCAGGCTAACCACTCAAACAAGACTGTTCGTACGAATGAAATTTCACGCAAAGAGTGGGCGTAAGCCCAGCCAACACTTGAATGTTCGTTGTGGTGCACAATTACGCCATTTGCCAAAATCAAACTATCAACTTTGACACTCATTAGCGTCAAATTACAGCGCGAGCAAAAGACAGGCGGGGGTGGCCAGTCGGTTGGCGGTGAGCAACGCCACAGCAGACCGCACAAAAACCTCGTAAATTCATAAAAGCAATCGTAAATTTTTATTGTCATGCCACTTGCCAGCCAACAGCAGCAACCGTTGCACAATGAGGGAAAATGCCGGCCAAGCTGAGAACTTTTCTCGAGGGAAAACTGAACACCAAGCAGACATCGACGATGTCGGCGACAAAAGACGACGACGCCAGTTTTCCAGTCGGTTGGCTGCTTGGACTAGAAGCTGGCTGGCATATTAAGCCAGCGCGCACATATTTCATAACAAAATTTATGAAGGGCCGTTAACTTTAAGAATCTTTTGCGCAATTTACTTGCAAGCGGCAATAGGAGGGAGCCTGACCAAAAGTTGCCAAGAAGCGAACGTCGCGCTGCGCCAAAGTAACGCCAATTTTTCGTCTAACAATTGGCGACGACCTAATGCCCCGTTTGGCAATCGAACCTGAAACTGCAGTTTGAGTCGCCAGCCAGAGCTTACACCCCCATTGCCCTGCTCTGCCCCAGCCCAGGCACTTGTAGGTACAAGTTGCAGGCACAGTAAGCTCATGAAGTTCACATGAATGCCATGAAACAATAAATTATGTTATTAATAAATAATAAATGTAATGGGAGACTGCAATTGCTGGCGAGATGCTGCTACCTGTTTTTTTTCTTCTCTTTTTTGTTCCTTGTGCAGTGAATGGAGAGGGGCATGACGTGCTCCATTATTATTATGCGCCCGGTTAACTACTGTGTCAAAGAGCCGCCTTGGCAAATAAACTAAAGCCAGCAACTATAGAAGTGCTAACGAATCCCAAATGCTCTTAAAACTATAATTTAAAAAGTACAGCTCTTTTTTAAAATAAAAAGTAGATTATTCATTAGTACTAGCTAATAATACTCCATAATATGCTATCTGATTGTTTTGTTTGTGCAGATAAACATTATTTCTTACTACGACTTGCCTTTCCATTTACACTGCAAAGCATATGAAATAGTTTCCAGACTTTCATGTGCATTTTCCCCAAAAAAATGAAAAGAAACAAACGAATTTTAGTGTGGAAACTGTTTTTTGAGGGTAGTCGGAGCAGCATCACGCGATGCAACAGGAAGAAATGGTTGGGAATCGAGTCGCCTTAGCTGGTTATTAATCATGCAGAGGCTAAATCTCTAGGCGAGCTGTTGATTGCTCGTGATGTTCGGGTAATTGAAATTTCAAACTTTAATACATGGAATCGACCAATATTGAGTATTGACTCATAATTTGAGTACACTTGTCGCCCTCAGGGCCAAGATGACAGGCAATCGAATATGTGAAACTATAGCACAATTGACTGGCATTAAATTAGCCGCAAGTACAGTACAGTACGGCTCATCTACATCTGAGCTACTTTTTCATATCTCAAACGAACATACAGTAGCCAAAGACATCGTATGGAAAAACTCATCGGCACCCCCAAAGGCGGCCCGTACAGCAGTAAAAGCTACTGGAACAGGCGACAGGCTGCAGGGTAGCGGGAATTGGCAACTGGCAACTGGCAACGGGGATACAGCTGCCCGCACGCGCATATATTTAAATAAAACGTGACTGCAGAATGGGCTCATATCTCTGTCGTTGCTGGACACTTGTGTGCGCTACAGCTACCTGATGCGAGCAGCCGTGGAGAGTGCGACTGGAGGCCCATGGACTTAGTGCTATATGCCTGGCGTCCTGCTGCGAGTACTTTTGCTTGGCTCGCTGCAGTGGCAGATCGCAAGCTCAATTCATATAGACAATATAAATATTTCATCTAATGCTGGCAATCTGCACTTGCCACTTGGCCAGCCAAAAAGCAGCCCAGAGCTAAGCCAGACTATACCACGGCAACGCCTGCAAGATGCACTCAGAAAAAGTGTAGGCTTCTTTTAATTCTTATGTCCTCTCTATGGCCCCTTCTTTTTTGTCATTATCATGGTTAAATTATTTAATTTCACAACTGAAATCTTTACATTTCGTTTCTTCTGCCTTACGTTGATACGTCATTCATTGTTACTGTAAAAGCGGATTTCATTCAAAATCAGTCCAGTTCTAGTCATCCAATCAAAGGCAAGCTCTTTTTATCTAGCCCAATATCAAATCCAGAAGTTTATGTCTTAGGAAACATCTTTTTTTTTTAAGTGCACGGGGACTAACTCGAATATGTATGCGCGCTCTTGATAGCGATTTCCAGGCGACGATAGACTCTTCATCATCATCGAGTGGGCTGGCGGCGGGTCCACGTTGGCGTATCGCGCTTTTGATTTAATTTTGCTGCCTTATTTTTTTGGGAGCACACCCAGTGTAACAGAGATGTCGATGTGGATGTGCTTGAGGATGTGGTTTCTGATGCGATCTCATGTAAATTAGCACACGTTTCGTAGCCTAAACATAGAGCTTGCAGTTTATTTGTGCCAAGTTCTTAAACTGCTAAATGAACTCATATGCAAATGTGGCCCAAGTGGGCTGCCCGGCGAGACAAGCATATACTCTCGGGGCCGTAGGAAGCCACAGGCTCCCCTCAGTACTCATTGTTTACCCCAGATTTTTACAGCTGGCAGAAGGCAACGTACAGTTAAAGCTAATCTGTATTCAACCCACTAATTACTTCTACAGAAAAATGTTCAAATTTCCAAATATCGCGCATACGCAATATGTGATTTGCTGTGACTCATATACTACAATGGATACCCTTTGCCTCCGTAGCTGATCCATTCACAGCTCGACCGCATCGAAATGAGTTTTAACACAATGTTACAAATCCCCGCACATAAAGATATATCAAGCCATGCATTAAGCCCGCAGCTGCGACGTGCAACCCAATACAAATATCTATGAATCTTTTGATAGTTTCTAACAAAATGCTCAGCGACGCAATGCCAATGGGCATCGTAAAGCATCGCTCAATCAGCTTGAGGATTGAGCTGCGATTTAACATGGCTGACTCTCTTTTCATTCAATCAATGGCGGTCTTTATCTAAAAGCCGTAGCTGCAATTAAAATAAATTAATAATGTCACTCCCCCAGCTTCTTCTTTTATACCCTATACTTAGCAAATCATCTGAGATTAGTAGAGATTTTCGATGAAACTTTTATGTTGCAAGTTTCAACTCTTTCAACTTTTTGTAAACATATTGTATTTTAAAAGTTAATATTTACTTTGTCAAAACCCTGAATTCTGTTATAGATCTTATTCATTACAGTCAGAGTTGAAAGATGAACCCAAAAGGTCGAAGTAAGTGTCATTTTTAATTAATAATATTACCTTACATATACCATATTTTCAATGCCTTTTTAGAGCATTTCTTCGTCTACTACAGAAAGTCTCCCTTGCTTTTATTTTGACTTCTCGTTTTCTGTTGTTTTTAATATAATGTTTCGTCGATCTTAATCAATAATTTAAATTTTGTATTTAAATTTTATGATAGCATTTTGTATTTTAATTATTGCTGCCGTTGCCCGCATTTTTGTTAAAGTTTTGTTTTCTTTTTAAAATTGATTTTGCTTATTATTACTATTTTATTTGGCTGACGCGTTTTGTTACTTTGATTTTATATATTTAAGATTTTAGCATACAGTGAATTTCTTGCGAATTTTGTATGATTTGCCAAAGAAGTGTGAAAACAAACAGTAGCTGAATAAAAAGCTATTCGAAATTCGAAATTTCCCACGCTGAGAGTTGAAATTGCATTTCTGGGTTACACACTGGAAATTATCGGATCTAATGCATGCCGAAACTTTCTCTCCCGGTTGTAGGTGTGTGCAAGCACTTGTTGCTTTGCGCCAAACCAGACACTTGGGTAAACGCTACTTGGCTCGTAAAATTTGTATTTGTATGCATACCAAACACACAAAAGAAACAAGTGGCAAATGCTTATTAACATATCACAAAAGACACACAGACTCCCAACTCATGCACATTATCTTGTTGGACTAACGAGCTGCTCCATTTAGGTTTGTAACAATTCGTTATGGGCCTCAACATTTCGGGCCCCAGAGGCGAGTGCAAACAGCCCAGTCCCGAAACTCATCGGGCGGCGTACCATTATTGGGTAGCCCCATCAGCATCAGCTACAGCAGCAGAAGCAGCATCAAAATTCGTCGTCTTCGTGGACTTGACGTGCTCACAGCTATCGCTTATCACAATCAGTGATAATTTTAACAGTAATCAACCTGTCCAGACCAAATGCGTCGTCGTCTTCGGTGTCGTCTTCGTCGTCCCAGACGGACAAGGGACTGACTGACTGGAGTGGTCTGCTCTGAACCGAACTGACTGACAGGCTTTGGGTTATGTCTGCAGTCGCCGGACAGGTTGTCGGAGCTTCATTCAGCTTCATTGCTGCCCTCAGCGGCAGCTTCTTCATTGTGTATAATTTTCAGTGAAATTGTTTAAATTTCGTTTTAATTTAATGATGCCGCCATCAGGGGGCGAGCGCCAGTTGCGCAAAATAAAACAAGAATTGATTGCTTTAGTCGAGTGTGCTCGGCTACAAAATCCCCTGTACTCTCCTTTGGATTCTTCCAGTTGTGAAATGACGTCCGACCCTTATTTATTTTTAAGGGCATAAATATGGCATTCAAATGCAAATATAGGTCACTAGGCTTTAGATTAAAAAAAATGTTGGTCCTTGTGGTAACGGAGGGAGGTTCCTATGTGTTTCTCTGTATGTTATTCGAGAATCCTGCATATAAAATGTTAGGTGTCTAACACTTAAAGTTTTTGAGTTACACTTAAAAGATCAAGTTTCAAAAATGTTTTTATCGATATTTTGA